AACCATCCATATATACAGACACAGACGCAATTTCAACCGAGACAACGGTTTTAAACTCAACAATCATTGGAAAGATGTCATCAAACCACTTTGGGTCATGACTTGATTTGTGTTTTCTTGTCAACCTCTACCGTCAGCAGTGTAGATGGGTGTAGCGAGGTGCAATGTCCCCCCCATTTCTACCCCCTCTCTCCCCCATCTCTTCCCTCCTCTCTCCCATATCTCTACCCCCTTCCCCCATTGTCTAACACACTTGGACTGTGCCCTCGCCTTCAGCTCCACCTCTATCTGTACCCCCCGCCTCTCTCTCCCCCTGTCTCTGCACCTCCCTCCCCCATTGTCTAACGCACTCGCTTTACTTGGACTTCTGGTGCTTTGCTCCTACATTGGCACTGGCTGCCCCACCCATTCTGTTTACTCCGCACAGCTTTGCTCTCTCTAGAGCCCTTATAAGCAGTTGCATTTGGAGGCTTGCCCCCTCTTTTCTCTCCGCCTGATGTGTTGCGATCGAAATGTCGTGGTTTTTTGCTTTTATTTTTGTTATAATTTACATTTAATTTTAATTCTATTTTTATTTTCTATTGCTGTGACACCGAAAGAAACAAGAATTTGAACCGTATACTGATACCAATAACCACTATTCACCACTAAGTGACAGTGACGGTGCCTGTGGCAGGCCAGGTGCACTTTGAGGCCACGGAGGTGTTGAAGGCTCGCTGACAGGTCTCGGGACAGACCCAGGTGCCGTGGGTTGGCTGACTGAGATGACTGGTGGATGCACCAGCTGTACCCCCTACTGTGCCAGATTGCTGCATTTTAGTCGCCCGGCGCTCCGCTCATTGTTGTGAGCGTCGCTCCTCTGCCCTCCGTTGTTGCCGGAGGGTGACTGCCTCCAATTGCCTAGCAGCGTCCTTCAATGAGCCTTTTTCAAAGAGGCCGATCCAAGCACAGCTGGTACAAGTCGTCGGCAAATCCACTCAGCTCTACATCCTCCCGTAACGCATCAGTAAACCCATAGAGACACATGGATATCGACAGTCGCACCGAGATACAATACATAGAGGCTCATAGAGATATAGACACACAGGGACTCGGAGATACATAGCTACATAGATACATAGAGATGGACAGATACAGACAGAGATGCATTAAAGACAGACCACAAAGCGATTGTCACCATGCAACCCTATGGACAATTTAGTAAACCCATGGAGACTCATCGAGATACATAGAGACCCAGAGACACCTAGCGATACAATACCTGTACATTAAATACACGCCACAGTGGTGTGATTGTGGCCATGCAACCCACACTGGAACGCACAGTAAACCCATAGAGATACACAGAGAACCATATAAATACATATACAGAGGGCCATATAAATACATACACAGAGACCCATATAAATACATACACAGAGACCCATATAAATACATACACAGAGACCCATATAAATACATACACAGAGACCCATATCAATACATACACGGAGACCCATCTAAATACATACACAGAGACCCATCTAAATACATACACAGAGACCCATATCAATACATACACAGAGACCCATATAAATACATACACAGAGACCCATATAAATACATACACAGAAACCCATCTAAATACATACACAGAGACCCATATCAATACATACACAGAGACCCATATCAATACATACACAGAGACCCATATAAATACATACACAGAGACCCATATAGCGGCGTTCTTCATTGCAAGGCCCGCGGGCCACTGGCGGCCCCTGGTGACCTTTAGTGCGGCCCTTGACTTTCCCCAAGAGTGAGAATAGCCCTTGCAGGCGGTGTGGCGGCTCTCACACTGGTGATGTCTTATCGGCGAAAATTAGTGAAGAACATTGTTCGAGAGAAACATGAAAGACGATCCACAGAAGTGCGACTGTGGCCATGCAACTCACAATATGGACCGCACAGCAAACTCACCGGAGGTCTGCGCTTCTGCAACGGAGGACCAGCAGCACTCCACGAACTTTCTCTCTCTTTATCTCTGCTGAGGCCTTCTCGTCGTGGAGGGCAGCAGCAGCACTTCCGCATTGAACATCGAGATCCTGAATCGCCTTGCTGCTGCTGCAATCATACTCAAGAATAGAGCACAGCTTAGTACGTTAAGTCTCATGATCAAGTTAAGAATCAGAAGAATCTGAATCTGATTAGTTATAATGCTCTTTTTAGTCGAGGCGGGTCAGAACGTTACAACATCAAACAACACAAAACACGATAGGAGTGCAAAGTATAACAAAATACACAAATAATTCGAAACTCTTTTTATCTTACCAGGTAAGGCCCACTGAGGTATTAACTTTTTTCAGGAGCGACCTGGCCACAAATGATAGCCCAACGAAGTGGCTGAGGAAGTGGAAATTTATAACAGCCAAATATTCTAAAAGCGTGATGTTGATTCTAAAAGTAGAGGGAAAAGCCGGAGAAAAAATCCACGCGACCACAGGGAGAGAGACGCAAACTCCAAATATACAGCAGGCGTTAACGGTCGGGATCGAACCCACGCACCTCCTGCATATGAAGCCAGGTAGTTAACATCTCGTCACCGCGGCGCCCCTGCTACTGCACATGTATAAAAAAGAGCTTTGTAGCTCATCGTATTGCTCCAGTATAAACACATCGACTGATTCTGCTGCATTGGAGGTAGTGCACAAATAACAACGCAACACATTCGTTAAAAATAATATCGTGTGTGGCCTCAAAATGGGAAACATATATACGAGGCGACGTTTCGCAATATGGAGCTATTTTCATCGCAACAAATATCATATACTCTTTGGTTCTTTCGGTAAAGTCACGTAGGTATAAAATAAAATATATGCCAATTTCAAAATGTTCACTCGAAAAATTATTGACCTACCAAATTAGCAGTTTCCTGTCCACCAACAATCTACTACATCTTCTATGGTTCTTTCGGTAAAGTCACGTGGAATGAAAATAAAATAATAAAATAAAATGAAATAAGACAATAAAATTCTCACGACGTTTCGGCCACAACACAAGTAGCCTTCGTCAGGTGAAAGAACAGAACTGTCGGGACGACATTGACTTTACCGAAAGAACCAAAGAAGATGAATCCTAGCAGTCACGAAAGCTTTAAATCGAAATCTACTACATCTAAAACAATCTGGGTTCCGAAAAAAATACAGCACCACATCTGCTGCATTAGACTCTCTGAATCACATTTACAGTAGCCTTGATAATAAGCAGTACTGTGTCTGTCTTTTTCTAGACCTGTCCAAAGCTTTTGATACAGTAGACCACAACACCCTGCTTAGTAAACTAAGTTGCCTCGGTTTTTCCGAAAACGCAGTAAAATGGTTACAAAATTACCTCTTTTCTCGCACCCAAACTGTATTCACAGATGGTTGGAGGTCAAACAGTGTTAAGATAACAAAAGGGGTTCCACAGGTTTCCATCCTCGGCCCCCTTTTGTTCTCTCTTTATGTCAATGACTTGGGCACTGACCTGGATCATTCCAGGGTAAATCTTTTTGCAGATGACACGATACTGATTACTGCTGGCCGCTCTCCGGATGACGTGATTGCTAAGCTACAGGGTGATTTCAACAAACTACAACATCAGCTAGTTGCTCTTAAACTAGTCCTGAATACCTCCAAAACCAAGGTGCTATGCTTCTTACCAGGACTAAAGCAGGAAGTTATTTTTCCCCATTTACATTCCTTAAATAATTGTCAAATAGAGCAAGTCAAGATCTATAAGTATCTTGGGGTCATCCTGGATTCAAAACTGAATTTTGAAGATCACATTGATTATATTGGTAAAAATACAAAAATAAAAATTGGTTTTCTGTATCGACACAAGCACTGCTTCCCCCCAATGTTCCGTTTGGAATTGATAAAAGCTACCATACTGCCTCTACTTGACTACTGTGACATCCTGTATAAATCAGCCCCAAGTACTGTACTGAAGAAGCTTGATTCCATCTATCACTCGGCCTTAAGATTTACATTGAACTGCCCATATAGGACTCACCACTCTGATCTCTACATTGGGTCAAACTTAACATCTCTTAATGTTCGACGGCTTGTGCACCAGATCTTATTTATTCACGATGTACTTACTAAAAAATCCGCAGACTACCTGCTGGATCTCCTCTCTGTTTCAAAGAACAAATTTGACCTCAGGTCTTCGCTCATTTACCAGCTTCACATTCCCTATTGACGTACAAAAACTGAAGGGCCTTTACTATTGATGCCCCCAGAGTCTGGAATGCTATTGCCAATAAACTGCAACTTGAATCGCTACCAATGAGATCTTCTCTCAAAACTGCTCTAGAGGAGTTGTACACTTTTAGCTGCCACTGCTATTCATTGGCGTAAAATAAAATAAAATGTTTCGCTCCGGATGACGCTGCAAAGTATTATCTGTATTTTGATTTAGCGTGCTGATCTTAAAGGTGCATTGAAAAATTTGATACTCCGACCGATGCTTCTGTTGTTGTGGAGTAACTCATGCAGCCAGTTATGGCTCTAGGGTTTGGTGTTACATGTTATTTATGTAGTTGTAAAAATTCGGTCACAGTCCTTGTGATCACTGTTACGTTGCAATTATGGCTTTATTTTTTGGTGATTTGGAAAAGTTTTTTGGTTTGGACATGTTTGTTTTGTTGTAGTACGGAGTTAGACTGATGGCCTTAATCTTAGGTGTCTTGTGGTTGTTGTTGTTTGACTTGCATCCCACTGGGATTTTTGCACACAGCGTTGGTGTACGGTGCTTTTTCAGGAATATTTTTGCTGTTTTTTCCATGGATTTTCTGTTTGCAGTCACATAGTCACTTTAAGATGTTTTACTTGTTCGTGTTTTTTTGTTTGTTGTGGTTGCACCCGATTCAAGAGCCGGATGGCTAACAGGGCTATACCAAAATAAACTGAACTGAAACTGAACTGAATGTGTGGTGGGCGGGGTTAGGTATTATGTGGGCGGGGTTTGAGGGGCGTGGCCCGATGGGAGAGGGCGTGGGGAATCGGGGGGAGGAGAGGGCGGGTGACGTAACCCTGAATTTAAATCTTGGTCGGTTGGTCGCGAGCGTCCACGTGACACGCATCGCTCCAATCAGAGAAGCAGCCGAGCTCCGGGAGGTCTCCGTGAGAGGATCAGCCGCGGTGAGTTGAGGGGGAAAGTCCGCCGCGATGGCGTCTCGAGTCGTCGCCACAAGCACTCGCGACTCGAACTCCTACGCATCAGTGTCGGAGAAGCAGCGGTGGTAGCAGCGGCACCTGCAGGACGAATTTTCTCTGCCTCGTTGCTGGTTTGCCGCGCGAGGCTTTGGACTGACGCGGCCCAACGCCCGCCCCAGCCTTGCCTGGATCGATTTGGAATATAAAGGGCATTCTTGAGTTAATCGACTCCTGCCGTGCAAACGTTAGCGGTGAATCGATTCCTAATAGAACTCGGTGTGTTAATCGATTGTGGGACTGGTTCTATTTTTAAGACTGGTTTAAACTGATTTTTTTATGCTTTACAATTGAAGGTAAAATCTTGACTTAAAGCTTTCGTGACTGCAGGAATTTATTTTCTTTGGGTCTTTCTGTGAACTCACGTAGGTAGGTTGAAAGAAAATAACACTACGACGTTTCGATCGCGGCACAAGCGGTCACATCTCCTGATGTTATTTTCTTTCAACCTACCTACGTGACTTCCCCGTAAGACCCAAATACATTTTGACCAGAGTTACGGGTCAAATTAGGTTTCGTTTTGAACCGCTAGATTTTCATAGACCCTCCTGTTTAAGATTTGAACGTCTGTGAAAAAGGGCTTAAGAGCGTTCTATCCCAGTGTCGACTCCATGTCCCAAGTATTAAAATCACAAGCTCAAGCAGGAAAATAATTTTACAACATAATTGCTATTATGTAGTTTTTACATCGGTAATTGTGTAAATGCTTTGATGTCTACTGGCCGAGTTGCACTTGAAAAATATCCTCTGAGCTAAATGTGCTTTTACTCAATAGGAAATTAACTTCCTTACGGTAACGCTGGACTTGTGTACCGGTTATCTACCTGCAGTATAGAGTCCAGTTCCAATAACTTCATAACAGACTCCCTTTTATGAGTTGTATTAAACGTTCTATTTAAAGTTCCTTTTTTCAGTTTTCGTTCCGCTTTCTTCGTCCGTAACTGTTTCCGTACCTAATGCCACAGCAGGTGATGCGCACCGATTAAAAGCGTTCCGATTGGGGGGGGGGGGGCGCGCGTTGCGAGCATTAGCCATGGTCAGTCCACTGTTGGATGAATGCCTTTCCCGAGCCGCCGCCACGTCCTCCACAGGTGGAGGAACCCGATGAGCTGTGAAGCTCTTTTTCACAGATGTCCAGTCGGGGCATTTGGTCAGTATGTAACAACAAGCGTTCTCCCCGCGTAAGAGTTCCATCCTTTGCCTGTTATTCCGTCATTCTCCTCAACCATAATCGACATCACGTCCTGATTAGCATGGTTGGCTACGTACGGTGGGAAAGAAGTTCTACATACAAACAACAGCCGCCACCCCTTGGAGTCATGACTTGTCCTATCAGTCTATTTTATTTGAACGACGGAAGTGATCCGCGTGTGTTTTGTAATATACGCTTCGCCAGCAGCCGAGGGAGGGACAGGAGACGTGCGGAGATGGAGCGGTAAAATCGAATCATGCGCAGAAAACTGGGTGCATTTTTGCATAGCTGGACCGTGAGAGATAGTAACAGCTTCAGGGAGGGCTTCGTCCAGCAGTGGATTGATCATGGCTGATGATGTTGATTATTCGAGTGAAATTGATTATTCGTTGTGAGATTTGGTGCGAAGAAAGATTTTAGTTTGATTTTGAATTTAAATCAATTTTTTATTAATCTTTACCAAATTGTCGAGGTTACGTCCCTGTACAGGTATCCCTCGATTTACGAACGCAAGTTCAGTTTAGGAAATTTCCCGTTAACGCGATTGACAAATTATGGACACTTTTCGATTTAAAGAAATTCGAATTTCGGCGTAAACGAAATGTCACTACGGCACGCGTCGTGAGATCATCAAATGAGAAGCATCCGGAGAGGCTGCCACCCATCCGCGACAGCGTCGTCACGGTGTGTCCCTCCCTACAGTGCATCAGTAACGCCTCCACATCGCCTTTAAAGTCATTCCAACATGCAGCTGATCTTTTGGTGAGTTCGCTTAAATGTTTAATTATTTAGGTTTTAGATAAATAATTGTTCCATCGTTTTAATATTTTGTTTTGTGAAAAGTGGTATAGGTGTATATTATTAGCTTAGGAGTATGGTTGGAATGACTGTCCAAAACACATCCCTAATTTTTTTATTAGGAAATTTCGTTCCACGCGTGTTTTTTGAAGCACGCCATTCCTTTAATAAAATCGAGAGACACCTGTACTTAACACGTCGGTCTGGGGTGTGTGTGTGTCCGTGCATGCTTCGCGTGACCAGATTTGCGTAACTTTATTGAAAACGGTACACAAGTTTTGTCTGCTCTGGAAAGTACCGAGTATCTTTACCAAAAGAACCAAGAATATATATCTTAGAACAGTTTAACTCGTAGGCTTTCACAACCAATATCCATAATAGAGATTTTTTTGGGTTAAATTACGTAAATATAAATGTGTCGTTTAAGCAGCCATCACCCGACACAGCCACTTAGTAAGGTTTGTCACGTAAACAAAGCGTGCCAATTACTTCCTACTTCAGCACACCTGTGTTGGAGAGTAAACCCATGGCATTACATTTCAAGTATTGTTACGTTTCGTTGATTGAGTTGTGATTGTGCCTGTCATTGAGTTGTGGCTTGCACGCCGTGCATAGAAGATGCGGTTGAGGTGTGGTTAACGTGTGGCGTGTGGGAGATGTCGAGGTGGTTAGTTAAGTGGCGGGTGACGCGGTGCCCGAAGTATACAGCGGTTGTGGCTTGTGGTTGCGATTGAGTGGGGAGCTGTAGTGTACCGGTTAGCCCGCTGTGATTCGAACCCAGCGACACGACTTCGATTTCCGCTCACGGCCAACACCAATGATCTGAACCGGTCCTGGGCCTCCCCTAGGTCGACTCAGCCTCAAATGAGTACCTGGTGCGGTTTGTAAACATCGCCACTAAAGAGACAACGGTGGCTGGGCGTGGTGCTTGCCACCCACACCCCCTCATGTGCCGTGCCGGCCTTCATGGGTGCTACTTACGAACAGCACTTGCTTCAACAGTCTGCTAAGGCTATACGGGGATCTTTGTTGCGGTTGCGTGCAGGAGATGTCGTCCACCTCGCAGAAGCACCGCTCCTTCGTGGCAGAGCCCATGGGAGAGAAGCCGGTGACGGCGCTCGCCGGCATCGGTGACACCCTGGGGGGACGGCTCATCGAACAGGGCTTCGACAGGGTGACTCGCTCACTCGCACACTCACCCGCCCACTCGCCTGCCAGTTCACGCGCCCACTCGCTCGCTCACCCGCTCACTCAGCCACCTGCTCACCCACTCCTCCACTTGCATGCTCGCACACTCACTAAACCACCCGCTCACTTACTCGCCCACATACTCGCCTGACTGCATACTCGCCCACTACTCGCTCACTCACTTGCGCGCGCACACTCATTAATGAAGTCACGTCGTGGAGTTCTTCATTCATGATTGGATTTACAGAGCTGCACAACCAAATTTCTCATGCTTTCTTCCCCCCACAACCCCTACCACACCACTGCTCCCTCCCTTTGTCAATCCCTTGCCCCCTTCCTCACTGTCTCCTCCCTCTCCTTAATTCCTTCCATATATCTTCCCTCCCTCTCTTCCTCCCCATCTCCCTCCGCTCTCCCCCGTGTAGGCATACGTGGTGCTGGGCCAGTTTCTGGTTCTCAAGAAGGAGGAGGAGCTCTTCAAGGAGTGGCTCAAGGAAGTCTGCAATGCCAACTCCAAGCAGTCGTCGGACTGCTTCACTTGCCTGCGGGAGTGGTGCGACGCCTTTCTCTGAGGCGCCCGCTCGCCTGTAAACGCACAGCCCGTCTTTGTGCGTTTACCCTCCGCAAGTTCACCGCCACCTCCTGCGCTCACCGCTCACTCGGTTGTTTTGCTGCCCGGAGTGAGGCTTGGTTGCTCACTCCCCCCTGCCCCCCATGCGATCCTGGTGATGCCGGTTCACTCGCCTACTTAGTCATTCACTGTGGCGATGCTCGCCCACACACCCACCGCACACTGTTCCACACGCTCGCCCACCGCTCGCTCGACCACACATCCATTGCTCGCTCGCCCACACACCCACTGCTCACTCGCCCACACACTCGCCCACCGCTTGCTCACCCACCGACAGACTTACCCACCGCTAGGTCAAACACCCACACACTCACCTCTCGCCCGCTCATTTGCCCACACATTCACCCCACCGCTCACTCACACCCACCGATTGCTCGCCCACACACTCACACACTGCTCGCTCACACACCCACTCCTCGCTCGCTCACACTGTCCCACCGCTCGCTCCCACACCCATTACTCGCTCGCTGTTTCGCCCACACACCCACCGCTCCCCCACACACTCTCCCACTGCTCACTCAAACACCCACACACTCAGCCACCGCTTGCCCACACACTCAACCACCGCTCACCTACACATCCGCCACTCGCTCGGCCATGCATTCGCCCACCGCTCGCTTGCCCATACACTCGTCCACCACGCATTCGCCCACCGCTCGCTCACACACCCACCGAGTCCGGCAAATCGTTGGTGGGAAAAGAAAAAAAAACAACCACGGGTCTCTCGCTGGCACGGCTGCTCGGATGTTCCAGTGTAGAAGGAGCGAGTCTCGGCAGTGGCTGTCGGTGGTTTGCTGGCTACGTGATTGTTTGATTGTTAATGGGATGTGGCGGGGGGGGGGGGCAGATGTTTGGTTCCGATCGGTGCGGAGGGATTTAACTAGGGGAAAAAGAAGCACGTGGTGGGTTTTTCGTGAAATTGTTATTCTTGACACGGGATTTTAATTGTTCTGTCCCGAGGGAGGGTCGGTTTCGCTGTGGAGAGGGAATAGAGACCCATTTTACTCTACGCGATGTTAATAAAGTCTTTGATATTAGGCTGCTTGTGCGCCCTGCCTGTTAAAGTAAAAGTTGTTCTCAACCGGGAGTACGCGGACCCCCTGGGGGTAAGTGGGCAATGTCCCAGGGGGTACATGAGCTGATTTATAAATGTTAAATCCCCCCTGGGGGTAAGTGGGCAATGTCCCAGGGGGTACATGAGCTGATTTATAAATGTTAAATCATACGTGAGAGTCATTGGTGAATAATCGATGTATGAATGCCAATATAAAATAACTACAGTAAAATGTAAATCTAAATGGTAACATAGAACGATATAAAATACCTTTCTAAGCTCATTGATCGTAAACAATGTGGTTTCCAAGAGTAACCAGCGAGTGCTATCAAAATTGCGTCAAGCATTTAGAGCGTCTGTTCAAATATTGATTTTCATTCCTAAATTTATTTATCAGAACCATGTTGGGTTAGGGAAGGAGGTTACTAAGTTGAAACAATTCAATAAGGGGTACACTATCCAAAAGTTTGAGAACTACTGATCTATCGCACTCGCATTATGCTTATCTTATCGTCCATGTTTGTCCTCCCCCCACACCTCCGTTTAGCACGGTTATCTGCGTATGGTGCAAAAGAAGTTCAACATCGAGTACATATTTACCACGTGGACTGCGCAGTCAACCCACTGTGATCCATGCTCATTCAACATAGGAACGGCAAAACGACGCCGATGCGCGTATGTTGAACTTCCTTTGCACCGTACGAATCCAACCGTGCTAATCGGAGGTGCAGGGGGAAGGACAAAAAACTAAACACAAAGCAGTTCTAAGGCGGACAGGAACTGCTAAAGCCCTCGTCATGACGAGCAGCAGAACCTTCACATTGGCATCGAGATCCTGAATTGCATTGCTGCTGCAACTGCCATGTGCAAGAAAGAATAAAACCATCGTCCAATGCTGAATCCACTGCTGGATGAAGGCCTCCACAATCTGTGCATGACGTATCAGAAACCAGGTCAATAATGACGAGTGCACTGCTGATGGAGTCATAGTAGCCATGTTCGTTCACGTGACCACCATTGGCCGTGTTGGTGGAGGAGGGGGTTGTCGAAGTATGTTAGCCGAGCAGGTCGTGCGATAACCACTGCGCCACTGCCCCCCTGTTGGAGTGCCTTGGTGGCGGGATGTTAACTCCCTCGCCTGGTGTGTTAGGGTCGTAGGTTAGATCCCAACCCGTACATTTAGAGTTTGCATCTCTCTCCCTCTGGTCGCGTGGACTTTTCTGCGGGTCCTCTGGGTTTTTCCTTCACATTTAGAATCCACATCACGCGTTCACAGTATTTGGCTGCCATAAATTTCCACACGAAGATAAGCCGCTACTTTGTTGAGCTATCACTTGTGGCCAGGCGCTTCTGATAAAGAGCTTTCGAGCTCGGTGGAACGTACCTGGTAAGAAAAAATAGTTTAGTTGTCAGATGAGAGGTCACTTGTGGCTGCGAGGGGGAGGCAAAAGTGGGAATGAGTGATGGGTGTGCTGTGTGTGTGCCCCTAGCCAAGCAGATTATGGTTAGGCTGATTGAGGGAGCTCAACGGACTGGAGAAGAGTCGTCTGATACGGTACAGGAGGATGTGGAGCTGAGTGGACTATCCGATTACCGATACCAGCGGTGTCAAGATCAGCTTTTGTGGAGGGAGGCTCGTGAAGGACGCTGCTGGTCGGTTGGAGGCAGTCGCCCTCTAATAACAGCAGAGGGCGGAAGAGCGACGCTCATAACGAGCGAAGCGCCGGGTGGCTCAAATGCAGTGAATTGGCAGTGTGGTCATCTCGGTCAAATCTTGGCAGCAGCGAGCCTTCCACACGTGGCCTGAAGGTGCACCTTGCCTGGCGTAAATCGCCGTGGTGACGTCACATGCATTTGGCGAACTGCGGTTGTGTGTGTGGTGAGAAAAGGGAATGTATGTGTGGTTCGGTGAGGTGTGTGTAGGTAGCGGTAGTGTAGCGGTTAGCGTGCTGCACTGCGAACCGAGTTCCATTCATGCTCACGAACATCACCAACACCAGTGACGATTATCTGAGCCGGTCCTGGGCCTCCCCTAGGTCGAATCAAATGAGTACCTGGTGCGGTGTGTAAACATCACCACTGAATAGACAAAGGCGATTGGGCGTGTTGCTGGCCACACTCGTGTGCCGGGCCGGCGTTTAAAAGTACTCGCTAACACTTTCCCCACACAGCATGTTCAGGCTACAGGGGGGATCTTTGTCGCGGTATGTGTTTGTATATGTGTCTGTATACAATGTGGCAGAACGGTGGCGCAGCGGTTAGCGCACTGCGCTACGAACCCGGCTCAACCTGAGTTCGATTCCCGGCCACGGCCTGCAATCAGTTGGGTGAGCGATTTTCTGGCACCTCGCAACTCCCGCCCCCCACCGCCCTTTTACAAAGCTGCAATGCCCAACGTGGTGAGCTTTGGTGAAACAACCCCACCCACATGTGTGGGGCGGGGGGGACATGCGCTTATCCAGCAGTGGATTGGCTAAAGCTGTGGTCCGTGACACGGGAGCGATGATAAAACCGACAACGCCACTTCTCGGAATCGAACCGTCGGGCACTTCTGAGTATTGGCCGCGAATTCTTCCCTCGTGAAGGTAAGAGGAGGGCGGGGCGAGGGATAGGGGAGGGTGAGCGGGCAGTGCCGGGAGTTGGCCACGCGGCTACCCAATCCATTACGCAACAGTTTTATATTTTCTACTCAATAGAGTTTGCCGATGAGTAACATTGCCCCAAAGGTCCCCAAAACGTCAGGCGACCAGCAACAAACAGCGCTGGTATCAGAGTTGTAATGGATGTTGTTGTGAGAACTTGGAGGATTGATACGATGGTGATGACGGAAGAGGGAATTCCAGAGTGGACCTGAACTTATTTTGCACCGTACATAGGCAACCGTGCTAATCGGAACAGTGTGGTTGAGTAGTGGACGTGAGCGGTTGGGCGGGTGAGTGAGTAGCTAGGTGAGTGGGTTAGCGAATGAGTGGCTAGGTGAGTGAGTGTGGTGGTGAGTAAATGAGTGATTAGCTAGGTGAGTGGCTAGGTGAATGAGTGTGGTGGTGAGTAAATGAGTGATTAGCTAGGTGAGTGGCTAGGTGAGTGAGTGTGGTGGTGAGTAAATGAGTGATTAGCTAGGTGAGTGGCTAGGTGAGTGAGTGTGGTGGTGAGTAAATGAGTGATTAGCTAGGTGAGTGGCTAGGTGAGTGAGTGTGGTGGTGAGTCAATGAGTGATTAGATAGGTGAGTGGCCGGGTGAGTGGCTAGGTGAGTGAGTGTGGTGGTGAGTAAATGAGTGATTAGCTAGGTGAGTGGCTAGGTGAGTGAGTGTGGTGGTGAGTAAATGAGTGATTAGCTAGGTGAGTGGCTAGGTGAGTGAGTGTGGTGGTGAGTAAATGAGTGATTAGCTAGGTGAGTGGCTAGGTGAGTGAGTGTGGTGGTGAGTCAATGAGTGATTAGCTAGGTGAGTGGCTAGGTGAGTGAGTGTGGTGGTGAGTAAATGAGTGATTAGCTAGGTGAGTGGCTAGGTGAGTGAGTGTGGTGGTGAGTAAATGAGTGATTAGCTAGGTGAGTGGCTAGGTGAGTGAGTGTGGTGGTGAGTAAATGAGTGATTGGCTAGGTGAGTGGCTAGGTGAGTGAGTGTGGTGGTGAGTAAATGAGTGATTGGCTAGGTGAGTGGCTAGGTGAGTGGCTAGGTGAGTGAGTGTGGTGGTGAGTAAATGAGTGATTAGCTAGGTGAGTGGCTAGGTGAGTGAGTGTGGTGGTGAGTAAATGAGTGATTGGCTAGGTGAGTGGCTAGGTGAGTGGCTAGGTGAGTGAGTGTGGTGGTGAGATGACACGCGGTGAAAGCACCCCCAACTGTTGCTGCCTGACTCGATGGTTCCCGTGAGTGTTATCGACTAATAGATTTATAAATCGGTTCCTATGATCGACTAACGTGAGACAGACAATACAAACGAGATGTAACAAGAGAAGGAATATAAACTGAATCGTCACCCTGCATCGCGACAATAGAATCGCTGTAATAGTGAATCGTTTCAGGTTTCATAATAATAAATCCTGCATAACCCCCACTCCGCAACCCCCCCACCACCATTAATCACCCCCACCACTCTCCCCCTCTCCCCACACCCCGTTCCGACTGTCTCTGTTTCCGCCAACTTCCTCCTGCCGTTCCACCAATTTCCCAAAACGCCCGCCACATCACCCACCAAGCCCCCACCCACCCACCAAGCACTGCCCACTCTTCCCACCAAATCTCACCCATTCCACCCACCAAGCCCCGCCCACTCCACCCACCAAGCCCTACTCCACCCACTAAGTCTCACCTATTCCACCCACCAAGCACCACCCACTCCACCCACCAAGCACCACACACCAAGCCCCACCCACTAAGTCTTACCCATTCCACCTACCATGCCCCCATCCATTCCACCCACCAAGTTCCGCCCATTCCGCCCACTAAGCTCCGCCCACTCCGCCACGATTATTAACCCCCCCCCCCCCCGTTCTGCTCCGCCCGCCTCCTCCAGACACGCTCCGCGCGGGGACTCATTTAGAGTTCAAACTCTGTCAAGTGAACATCGCAGCACCATCACCCCCCCCACCACTCCCCACCACCATCACCCAAAACAACAAAAAACACACACCACAACCCCATCGCCATCACTACAATTAACATCACCAGAGCACTCACCATTACCGGTACCATCGCGATGTCTCGACGCAAGCAAGTCAAGCCCCAGCACCTGAGTGAGCGAGACTTCCCGAGTAAGTGACATGGAAGGTCTCTCTCACGCTCTCTCCCTCGTCTCGCGCTCTGCACCTCTCACGTCCATAAGGGGACACAGATACGCGGGAGTGATGTACGGTGGGGGTGGGTGAGACGCTCTGCCGCTCTCCCCGTCTCACGCTCTCGCTTCCACTCCACGCTCTCTCACACACACGCGGGACACCTGTGAGTGCCTCTCACCTGTGTGTGTGTGTGCGCGCGCGGGTGTACGGAGTCCAGGGGAGCGGTGAAAATGAGCTTCATATCTCATCGAATTCCTCCAGTTTTACGACATATTCTGTTTCTGGTACGCACACCGCGCTACAAATTAGCGGCTTCTCACGTGAGTGCGCTTCACGAGGCCACGGCGAACATCAGTGGGGAATAACAGCCGGGCCCGCTCCCGCGACAGTTCAAGTTGTTACCTCGTGGCGCCACGCAAGTCTTAGTCATATGCTCGGACTTGCCCTCCACAGCGTGTGTAGGCTATCCGGGGGATCTTTGTCTTTGAGTCTGTGTGTTGGTACCGTGCCGGCCTTAATAGGTGCTCGCTAACAGCACATGCCCCAACAGTATTTTAAGGCAATACGGGGGATCTGGATTAGTGTAGGGAGCGGTAGTGTAGCGATTAGCGAGCTGCGCTTCGAATCCGGCCACCCGAGTTCGATTCCCACTCACGGCCAATGTACGGTGCGAAAGAAGTTCAATACACATACAACACCAGTGACGATTTTCGGAACCTGGTCCTGGGCCTCTCCCCTAAGTCGACTCAACCTCAAATAAATACCGGGTGCGGCGTTTAAACATCGCCACTGAGGAGACAAAGGCGGTCGGATGTGGTGCTGGACACGCACCCCATCATGTTTCGTTCTAAGAATCTGTTAAGGCTATACGGGGGATCTTTGTATACCTGTGTCTGTGTCCAGTGCTGTTAAGGGGCCATCCGTTTAGTAGGTACGCAAACATCTGTCAAATTGACCCCTCCCTGTACGCACGCGGACATTATACCCCTGTGTACGTTCGCCTGACGCACCCCCCCCCCCCCCAGAATCCTATAGAACGGCCGATATTTAATCCACGCATAAACGATCAAGGGTTAATAATATGAACGTGTTAAAGCAAACAGATAGTCCACCGCCGGACTATCTAACTCATTTGACGGCCAAAGTAGAAACATTACTATCGAGGCTTCACCCCCCCCCCCCCCCCCCCCCGTTTCCTAAGCGTACGCACATTGTCAGTAGACCCCCCCCCCCATATGCAAGCGAACGCATTTGGGTTAACCCCCCCTCCCCCCTCCATGCATACGTACTAAATGGATGGCCCCTAATGATCGTTTCTCTGTCTCTCTACAAAACTGCGTCTGTCCCCATGTGTCTCCACGTATCTGTGTGTCTCCCGATGTCTGTGTGTGTGGCACTGTATCTCTGTGCGTCTCCGTGTCTCTTCCTGTCTCCGTCTCTCTCCGTCTCCCTCTGTCCCCTAATGTCGACGATTACCCTGTGAACATGTTTTAAGTTTTGTTCAAACGATATTAGAACTTGCACCTGGCCGTCCCCTAGGTCGACTCGGCCTGAACGTAGAACCTGCGGCTGTGTTAGGACATCAGAACTGGCCACCCGATTTCGATTCCCGCTCATCAATAATAACAGTGGCGATTATCTGAACCAGTCTTGGGCCTCCCCTATGTCGAATCAGCCTTAAATGAGTACCTGGTGCGGTGTGTAAATATCGCCACTCGGGAGACAAAGGCGGCCGGGCGTGATGTTGGCCACACACTCCCTCGTGTGCCGTTATAGGTGCTCGCTAACAGCACTCGCCCCAACATTCTGTCAAGGCTATACGGGGTATCTTTGTATCTTTTGTGTCTGTATATGTATGCTTGTGTATGTACAAGGTTCGTGTGTGTGTTTGTGTCTGTATGCGTGCTTTTGTGCGTCTATGTACACGTATGTGTGTCTGTATGTTGCCGACAGCACTTGCCCCAACAGTCTGTTAAAAGGCGATAAGGGGGAGAGTTTTGCTGTGTCTGAGTGCATGTATGTTTGTCTATGTCACGTACGTACATGTATGTCTGTGTAAATGTGTCTGAGTGCATGTATGTCTATGTCACGTACGTACATGTATGTCTGTGTAAATGTGTCTTGAGTGCATGTATGTTTGTCTATGTCACGTACGTACATGTATGTCTGTGTAAATGTGTATGTGTGCATGTATGTTTGTCTATGTCACGTACGTACATGTATGTCTGTGTAAATGTGTCTTGAGTGCATGTATGTTTGTCTATGTCACGTACGTACATGTATGTCTGTGTAAATGTGTCTGAGTGCATGTATGTTTGTCTATGTCACGTACGTACATGTATGTCTGTGTAAATGTGTATGTGTGCATGTATTGATGTGTACGTAATGTATATTTTGAGTGTGTTGTGGTTGGACTACAAACCCGGTTACCTAAGTTTGATTCCCGCTCAAGGCCACCAACACGGGTGACGATTATCTGAACCGGTTCAATGCCTCCCCAGGGTTGACTCAGCCTCAAATGAGTACCTGGTGCGGTTTGTAAACATCGCCACTAAAGAGACAAAGGCGGCCGGGCGTGGTGCTGGCCACCCACCCCTTCGTCTGCCGTGCTGCTCACGAACAGCACTTTCCCCAAAAGTCTGTTAACGCTATATGGGGGATCTTTGTCTGTATATGACTTTACACGCACAAAGACATAACATACACATGTACACATGAAAATGACATCCACACATACACCCCAGTCTATATAACAAAGACATCACACATACACACATATAATTATAATTTCGCCTCTTGGAGAAAGTACCATGAGCGAGCACCTATTAAGGCCGATACGGTGCAACACGGCATGACGTGATCAGTGCCATTTAAGGTCAAGTCGATCTAGTTAGGGCAGGCTCAGAACCGATATTCACCACTGAATGTCGGCCGTGAGCGGGAATCGAACTCGCGTCGCCGGGGATCTTCGCGCAGTGCGTGAACCACTGCGCTACTGTTCCCCACTGCCACACACACAAAGACAAATATCTCCCGTACAGCCTTAGCAAAGACTGTTGGGCAACATCCTTGTTCGCGAGTAGCACCGATGAAGGCCAAAACGGCACACGAGGTGGGGGAGGGGGGGTTGGCCAGCACCACACCCGGCCGCCTTTGTCTCCCTAGTGGCGATGTTTTCTACACACCACACTCGGTACTCATTTGAGGCTGAGTGGATCAGCGCACACTCATTGTATACATATCGAATGATTATCTCGAAGGGCTAAAGAGCTGTTCTCGCGCCACCGATTTCCATGTAACCCGACGATTCTGAAAACCGATATTTATCATTTTTATCCAAAACTTTCCCACGTTGGAGTGATTGGTTCGACACCCTCCCCGGGTTATGGTTCCACATTGCTCCACAAAGATCCACCGTATACCTGAACGGACTGTTGGGGGCAAGTACTGAATGGTTAAAACATGACGCTATAGTGCTATACGAACCCTATCCACCCGAGTTCGATTCCCGCTCGCGACCGATAACAGCGAGAGTATTCCCTCTCCTAGGTCGTCTCGGCCTTAAATGAGCACCTGGTGTGTAAACGTCAACATTGGGGAGACAGGAACCGGCCACCCACCCCTTCGTGTTTCCATTCCGGTCTTCATAGGTGCCCGCTAAAAGCACTTGTCCCTACAGTCTGTTAAGGCTGTCCGAGGGATCTTTGTCTTCGCATGTATGTGCGTGTATATATGTGTGTATTTGTGTGTAGATGTTTGTTTATTATAAAATGTACTTTCAAACACAAACCATCGTAATATAACACCATAAGTACACACACCTCGAGGCGTATGCATTTCTACGTGTGTGTATAAGTGAGCAAATTATGTGTATATGTGTATTTGTTGTGTAAGTGTACGGGTGTGAGTGTGTATGATTGTGAGTGTATGTATGTATCGGGAGCGGTGACGTAGTGGTTAACGCGCTCCGTAACGGACCCGGCCACCCGGGTTCGATTCCCTCTCACAGCCAACACCAGTGACGATTATTTGAACCGGTCTTGGGCCTCCCCTAGGGCGACTCTGTTTCAAATCAGTACCTGGTGCGGTGTGTAAACACGCAAAAAGAGACAAAGGCGGCCAGGCGCCTTTGTCTCTCCCTCGTGTGCCGTGCTGGCTTTCATAGGTGCTCGCTAACAGCACTTGCCCCAACAATCTGTTAAGGCTATACGGGGGATATTTGTCTTGTATATGTGTATACATATGCACATTGTTATTTGTAAATTAATGTATAAAATACATTTGTAACTGGCATAGTAAGTATATATGTATCCAAATACATCTAAAAAGACAAAAGCCTTCACAAGTGCCGTAAGCGAGCATCTATGAACGCAGGCACGCGCACGATGGTTTGGTTGGCCAAAACCACGCCCGGCCGCCTTTGTCTCCCCAGTGATAATGTTTGCACACCGTACCAGGTGCTCATTTAAGGCTCAGTCGACCTAGGGGAGGAGGCCCAGAACCCGTTGAGATTCGTCACTTTTGGTTGTTGAGCGGGAATCGAACTCTGGTCGCTGGGTTCGTCGCGCAGCGCACTGGCCACGACACGACCGCTTCCCAAAGACAAAGTACCCCTGTGTAGTCTGCATAGACTTTTGGGGCAAGTGCTATTAGCGATGAGCATCTCACTAGAATGGTTGATGTGGCCATAACCACGCCCGGCCACCTTTGTCTCTCCTGTGTTGATGTTTACACTCCGTACCATGGCGGCACTCGTTCGCGGCTGGGTCGTTAAAATAAAGCCTGATGCTCCTCCGGTGTTGATATCAGTCGCCAATGACGATAGCCGCGGCCGGGAATCGAACTTGGGTGTGCCCCTCTGTGTCCCACGCGAGTGATCAGTTTCGTAAAGTGATAGGAAAATAGTTAAAGTGATTGCCAGTGGCGCTCTAAACCGAGCTCAACCCTCAACTCTAACTCCACCACTAAACCTAACT